GGGTTTGGCTGGCACGGCACGGCGCATCGCTCTGGGGGTTTGGATGGCCCGGTGCAGCAAGGCGCTCCGGGGAGGGTGGGGGTTTGGCCGGCCCGGTGAGGCGCTCCGGGGTGGGGGCGGGAGTTTGCCCGGCCTGGCGCGGCACTCGGGTTGGCCGGCACAGCGCTCCAGGGGTTTGGGCAGCGAGGCGCTGGGGGGGGGTGATAAGGCGGGGCGGTGCTCTTCTTTTTTGCCTGGGGCGGCAAAAAAGTTAGAGCCGGCCCTGAGTGGGTGGGGGGAACATGATGACAATATACAAGTACATAAAAGGTTGTTAAAAGAAGGGGGAGGAAAATTGTCCTCAGCCTCTGAGGATAGGACAAGAAGCAATGGGCTTAAATTGCAGCAAGGGAGGTTTAGGTTGGATATTAGGAAAAACTTCCTAACTCTCAGAGCGGTTAAGCACTGGAATAAATTGCCCAGGGAGGTTGTGGAATCTCCATCATTGGGGATTTTTAAGAGCAGGTTAGACAAACACCTGTCAGGGATGGTCTAGATAGTACTTAGTCCTGCTTTGAGTGCAGGGGACTGGACTAGCTGACCTCTGGAGGTCCCTTCCAGTCCTATGGTTGTGTGTGATTGGAGTCCTAGCACATCTCTCTCCTTACAGGAGGGGACTCTCTGGGGCTTTAATCACTGTGAAAAAGTAAATAGCAAGCGAATAAAGAACAGGAGTACTTGTGGCACCTTAGAGACTAACAAATTTATTAGAGCATAAGCTTTCGTGGGCTACTGCCCACTTCTTCGGATGCATATCAAGCAAGCGAAGGTGTTCCTCTTTTCTATGTGGATTAAATGAAGGCAGCCTGAATTCTTTCCCAGGCTGTAAGTAATAAAAATACCAACTAGCAGAGGATGGTTTCGATCCATCGACCTCTGGGTTATGGGCCCAGCACGCTTCCGCTGCGCCACTCTGCTGGGTGGCTTTTTTTTCTCTCTGACATGTCCAGAAGGCTGTGCATGTGAGCTGTGCACTGGAGAGAGAGATCAGAAGGGCATTTTACAATCTTTTTAAGCAGGTAATTTTCATGTATTCTTTTCAACTCTAAACGAATGAACTGATCTCTGATAAGAATGCAGCCAGCTGCTGTTGGCTTTAGGCTAATCATTCGGCAAAAACATCCTGACAGGGGACTGGAGCTCAGTGCTTATTTTATTTTTCCAATGGGCAATTCCAGTTTTCTAAAGCAGCTGAACTATTTTAAGCTTGTGATTTTCGGGTCTTTTTCTTATATAGGTGCCTATTACACACACACACACACACACACACCGATTTTTCACATTTGCTGTCTGGTCACCCTAGGGGCCTCGCTGCGGAAAATGTCACTTTATACAGCAGTAGACCTTGAAAATAAAATCTGGATCATTCAAAGACTCCCAGTCAGGGGAAAAGTGCCTGCCAGGTCCTCTGCCGGACAAGGGCCTTGAAGTTTGGAGTGGGGTGAGTGGAAGCAAGCCAGCCCCCCCCCCATTGCTCCTCACCCTCCTCCCCAGCTGCCCTGCAGCTCCCTGCCTGCCTGACCCCCCGAGGCCACCCCCAGTTTCTGCAAGCAGCCTCCACCCCCCACATTGCATCCCGGCCTGATCCTGCTGGCGGGGGGAGAGGGGGATCCGGCCAGCCCAGAGCTGGGTTCCCCGCGTGTCCCAACCCC